CGACTGATTCAGGCGACGGTAAGCAGTATCAGTTTTGTCCAAAAACCCCAATTGCCCAATTCCGTAGCCCTTTGGCTGTCCTTGCCTTCCCGCAACCTACGATTTGAGTGTCATGTTCCAAAATCTCAAAGTCAAAAAGTGTAAAAAAAAGGGGGACGCTGGCCCGACCGTAGATATGACTGAATGGAGTCAAGATTTTTTTTGATGCCGGTGGGGGCATACATCCGGGATGGGTTATCGAGGCACGTTGCCGTCTGCATGTAGAGGATTAAACAGGAGACACGCTCCGAGTGGTTGACCATGTAGAGCGCGTCAACGGGCGCTACAGCTCGGCCTGCTTGGAGTTCGGCCTTGACCTGGGCCTCGCATGCGACGCGGAACAGGTCGACGTCCTCGCCGTCGTAGCCCGAAAAGAAAATTCTGTTCAGCGTAGAGTCGTAGGAGTTCAGACCTATGAGGGAGGGATGTGGTGAAAGGTATGATGAGGGGTGGGGGTGGGCGCACCAGTCGCGTTTTTGACCGATTCAACTCGGGGCGCATGGGTGCGAGGAAGCGATGGTCGAGGGTGGGGAATATATATCACGAATAACTAGAGTTAAGATTTAAAAGAGAAAAACCCGCTATTATCCCCCCCCTTAGTCAAAAGGTGCACGATGGTCCTAACCTAAGAGGTATATATGCAGGACGGTCCTAACCCAGGCCAAAAACACCCATACGGTCCTAACCTTAGATTCTTTTGACTCGTAGTGGTCCTAACTTTTTGGGCTCCTGGTACCAATATCCCGCAGAGGTCCTAACTCAGCTAGTTCAGCCGGGTCGTCGTGATCCGCGTTGCAAGCCCCCCGGGCCGGCGTGGGGGCACATGGCTGAGGTGCCAGTGCCTCCTTTGACCTTCGGCTCAATAGAACTGCAGAGGAACGACCAAGTCGCGAGGCTTAGGCAGTCATATGAGGATGACAAGAAGGAAAAGAGAAAGCGACAAGGCGAGGTGAGATTGAAAAAGGCCAAGGCCTCCTTAGATTTAGAGGCCAACGAGACTCCCGTGTTGACGGAGCTGCACGCGCTACAAGATTTCGAAAAGGGAGACACCTTCTCTTCGAGAGTAAGCGCTGCTATTGCCGCTAAGGGCATGTTCGAGAAGCTTCATGTGATCGCATGTCGCGAAAAATTTGATTTGCAGAACATTGTTTTTCAATGCGCATGTGGAGACAAAGCCTGCGCGAAAGTGAGAATACTTCGGCAGTCCGATTCAAGCTGGAAGGTCACTTATCTTACTGCGCGCAGGACACATAGTTGTGTTTCCAAACCTCTTGTCTCCAAAAGGTGGACGAACTACAATTCAGAAGATTTCGCAGGGTTAATTGCTAGTAATGCGAATAAGCACGACGGCATCAAGCCGAAGGGCGCCATACCACTCATGCAACGCTATATCTATAAGACTCTTAATCCTAAATCTTCGTTTGGACAGAGGGCATGTGAATTTGCACGAAACATCATAAAGCCTGGGGGTGAGATGACCGATCAAGTGGCAAACCTTCCTATTGGCTGTGCAGCATTTAGGAAAAAAGGGTGGACAGTAGAATTTGAAACTGTTACTTCCAAAGAGATGCAGAAGAAACTTTGTGAGGCAATGAAAAAAGAGCATGACACTAGTGAGCGGGCGAAAAAAAAAGATGATGCGAAACACAAGGTGACGTTGTTTAAAAAGTCGACGGTGCCAAAGTTAGAAAAGGATGTTAAATATGTTGTCCATATCTCTATAGCGCCACCTGGCTTGGTTACTTTGCACAACGCTTCTATCCTCTCTATAACTAGCTCAGATTTTGCACATGCAAAGGGAGCCAGTATGAGCCAATACGGGCTCAGAGTTTCAATAGAAACGTCTCTGGGGATGGTTAATGACCTAATGGCAACATTGTCATGGGGTAATGAGAACGAGGATGCGTGGAAGATGATGAATGAAGCAACCAAATCAGCTATACCAGGTTTCGATTGCGAATCCCAGGTGGACATCTTTGACGGTAGTAAAGGGGCCCTTAATGCCCATCATGCTTGTTTTGATGAAGTAAAGCTGTTTGCAGATTCTTATCATGTAACAGAAAATATTAAAGACAAGCCAAGCCTCAGGGACAACCTGGATCAGTACATTTCCGCTCTCAAGGCCCCTACGGGTGTCCAACTAGCCAAAAAATTGTTAGCCATGGATAGTGATCTGAAAGAATATCTGTCTAAGAGAGGTGAGGAAGGTCAGCTGTACCTGGCGGCAGCTGGGACACTGAAAGGTATTACGTCCAGTCAGTCGGTAGAATGCATGAACGCGGCAGCGATTCCGACAAGGAAGGCTGGAGTAATGGAGTTTTTGTTCTTGAAAGCGGAAGGTATGGAGAGCAGGAGGTTAAAGATAATAGAAACATTGACGCAATGTCCAACTTTCAC